TAACATAGACTCTAAGCTTTATAATAGGCTATTATTAATTTATCTATTAAAGTCTATAAGTGCTATTTATTTCTCTTAGCTATATCTAGCCCCTAATCCTAATAGTTATAGTAGAGTTTATTAATAGCTAGTAAAAAGTCCTCTTCTTATTTCTACAATACTACTACTACTACTACTGCTGCTACCGCCAGCACTAACCTAGCCTAGTCCTCTGCTAGCACTGCCTTATTATCCTCCTTCTTCTCCTCCTCCTCCTCCTCCTCCTCCTCCTCCTCCTCCTGCTACTACTACTACTACTGCTGCTACTTCTCTTTATCCTACTTTTACTTCTTTAATAGAACTACTATAGCCTAAAGTACTACCTCCTCTGCATAAAGGTAATATAAACTATTTTAACTAAGTTAAGTTAAGCTATAAGTGTCTTAATAGACTTATTACTAGTGTTATAGAAATTTAGTTAACTATAATCTCTAAGCGCAAGGTTAGTATAATTTATATTCTAGGATTAATTTAATGCGCCTTTGTAATAGACAAGCTAATAGATAGTGTATAGCCACTAGTGTAAAAGCTAATTACACTCTATAGAGGGTAATTATATAAGATACAGCAGCTAGGCTAAGTTAGGTCTAGTAATCTAGGCGTTTAAGGTAGACAAGAGCTATTAGACTAACTTAGAGTAGCTTAACTAGGCGTAACTAAGTTATAGGACACCCTTGCTACTAGTAGTAATATTATAGGTAGTAAGGATAGTGTTAAAGGTAACCCTAGAGACTAAGATATTTACCTATTAATAAAGTAATTAGATTATCTTATTATAGGTAGCTAATAGGTAGCTACTAGAAGTTAGTTAATAGCTAGTTAGTAGGCTTTATTAGTATTACCCTTAAAATCTATAGTATATTAGTTTAGTTATATTTATATACTATACAAGATAACAGCGTAAATTAATAATATATTTAGTATATAGCCTATATTTTAGAAATCCTTTTTATAAACTTAGTCTTCTTCTTAGCCCTATTTAGCTAGAGAATAAGAACACCTGCTTTATTATACAAGTACCTGTCTCTTCTTCTACACTAACTACTGCTTTTGCCTTTCTTAACAAGGCTTTAGTTTAGTCCTTATCTACCTTCTTATTACACTTACCTTCTTACTATAAAGTATAATATTGCCCTATAAAAAACATCTGCTATAACTATACCTTCTAAGGTTAATTAGGATACCTAACTATACTATTAGCTTAAGTACCTAAAATAGACTAAAGATATAAATATAACTATATATAACTAGCTTATAGAAAAGCTTAATAAAGAAGATCTTACTATTATAAAGTAAGTAGTGTTTATCTAATAAACAGATAACACTAGAAGCCTTGTTTTCTTAGATATAGATAAAGAGCCTAAATAGAAAGATTACAAGGTGTTCTTTACATTATAGAACTATTTCCTCTCTAAGGCTTACTAGAATAAGCTCTAAGGGTAGTAAAGGGAAATAGAAGAGCAAGAAAAGGGTAACTTAGTGCTAATATCCTACTTCTACCTAACTTATCGTGTATAAATTCAGACGCTAATAGACCCTAGTTAACACTATAGAGCAAAAATCTAACTCTACTACCTTATAAAACCCTTATAATAAACTACCTAGCAACGTAGCTACTAAATAGATAACTAACCTACCTATGCTACTACCTTTACCTTTACCTCTAACTATAAATCCTAATCTACGCTATCTAATATACCCTTTAGTTATTAGTACTACAACTACTACACTAATTCTACTTACTAGGCTATATAACTAGGATGCCCCTAAATATAAAAAATAGGCTTAGAGTGTAGCTATCTTAAGTATAGCAGTAGATATCTAGGCTATTAAGGGCATTAGCCACTATAGGTACATAGAACAGTTAAAGAAGGAGGAGAATAGTTAGAGGAATAATAGTTAAGTTTAACTATCTTTAAATAGCTTAATAAATAAGGGAAAAGGGGAAAGCTATTTCTTATTTAAATAAGATTTAAAGATATAGTGTTTTATAAGTAAGAATACTATAAGAACTAGGTAGTAGTTTTTATAAATATATCTAAGCTAAATAGCTACTAATTACTATAAAGTACACCTAGCTTATACTAACTTTAGCTAATACTACTTACTTATAGTAAATACTCTAGCGTACTACTCTACGCTAACACTATGCTACTTATAAAAGCCTTAGCTATTTTTATTACTAACTTTACTTTATACTTTTTTAAAGCTAATAATGTATTTTTAACCCTCTTAGTAAGTATAACTAGGACTATAGCTAGCCCTACTAATCCTTTACTATAGCTATACTAATACTATAGTTAGCTTATATACTTCTAGTAGGCTAGTAATCTTGCGTCTACTAAGTCTTAAGCTACCTAGACTATAATAACCTTATATATCTTATTATAAGCCTTAATAATCTTAAGACAGAGCTTATTAAGCTAGCCTAAAGCATAGATTATAGCTATAGGTAGTAGCTATAGATAAACAGTAATAGTAGTAGCAGCAGTAGTAGCACTATTACTACTATTATAGCTATCTCTAGTACTACTACTATAGTAGTCTTGTCTATTATCTTTAATAAAGTCTTTACCCTTATGCTCCTTAGCTTATCTTATATAGCCTAACTTCCACTATATATATACTGTAGCTAGGTTATTAGTCCACTTACTACTAGGCGTTACCTTAGCCCTTACAACAGGGTCCTCCTTGTTACTATTCCTCTTAAGCTCTCTTCCTATATATTAAATTATCTCCTTAAAGCCTAGGCAGAATCATTAAAGCTCTAGGTATAGACAAAGATCACAAAGGTGCTAAAGCTAGTCCTATATACTACTAGTGCTACTAGTAAACATAGGTAATAATAGATTAAATTTAAATTTAATAAGTGTATAAACTATAGTGCCTTTATATTATTAACAGAAGCTAATCTTTTAGCTATTATAAGTATAAGACAAGATAGGCTTATAGTAAAAAAACTTTAGATAGCGTTAGTAGTAAATTAAGCTTAGGCTTTTATTTAGCTGTTAGCTTACCTTGTTAAAGTTATAAATATCTTAATTTAGCTTCTCTATTACTATCTAGGGGGCACTAAGAGAGTAGTAGGAAAAAGTAATTCTTTAGAAGTAAACATTAGGTAACTCCCTCTAGTAATTACTAGGACTATTAGTCTACTACCTTATATCTAGATAAGAAAACAGAAGTACATAAGGAATACTAAGTAAAAACCTATCTGTTTACACTAATATATATACTAATCTACCCCTATATATTATTCCTGCTTCTCCTCTCTATCTCTTTATCTTTATATATTAAAATCCTATTAATATTAAAGAAATACTTTCCTATAATAAGCCTTTAAAGTTATTAATCCCTAAATTAGTTAAAAGGCTACCTCCTGTGTTATTATAGTAGCCTAAATTCCTCCTAAGCTACCTTAAACCAAGAGTATCCTCTGTTTACTTTAACATTAGCTTATTACTATCTTAGTATATTTTAAACCTTTATCCCTAATAGGCGTAATCCTAGTTATAGGTTTTATAAGACATTACTTAAGATTTCTAGTTAAATTTTATATTCTATAGTTATAACTTAAGTATCTCTTAGTAATAGAACCACTAATAACTTAGTGCTAGTAATAATAGGTTAGATTTAGGCATCCTTGTCCTTATCCTTATCCTTATCCTTATACTCCTTATCTTCTACATCCTTATCCTTATCTTTATTCTTATTTATAGAATCTTCTTTTTTCTTGTTGTTATCCTTACTACCTTTACTATACTTATAATTAGGGTTATTATCTACTATAACTATATATTTACTAGAAGCTAAAGCTAGATTTATAGCAGTAGGGTACTAAGACTTAACAGTTTTACTATTAGCTTTACTATTAAATTCTATTACAGTAGTAGATCCCTTAGATGTCTTAGTGTAGTTAGTAATATCTAGGTTCTTAGTGCTCTTGTTAATAGCCTAGTTAAAAAAAGCTATAGATAAAGACATTACTAAGAGCTACTCTTACTAAGTAATAAGGTTATAAGACTTATTAAGTTACTTAAGAAGCTAGTCGTAGGTAGCTTTCTTAGCTTTAATCTTCTTTAAGATTTACTCTTATATTAACTTAGTGAAAGTCTTAGGGTCAGCTAGACAAGATTTCTTAGAAGCTCTACGTTATATAGCCTTCTTCTAAATACTGTTGTTAGGTATACTTAAAGAAATTATAGTAAAAGTAAAGTATAATAAGCAATAGATAATAAGGATAGTTTATAGAAGTATATAATTAACCTAGAAATAGCTATAAGAAATTTTAATATTCTTACTATTATTATTATTATTATTATAAATACTGCCTTTAAGAGATTATAAAGTAACTAAAAAGCACACTAGGACTTTAATATCTTTATATATACTCTTAGTAATACTAAATTAGTTATTTTCCTTATTCTTTTATAGCTAATAAGACTATAAATCTATTTTTAACCTTCTGCTTATATAGAGGTTTTATATATTAACTATTATTAAGGTTAGGATAGTGTTACTAAAGAGGCTATATATAGTGCTACTAGATAATTAAAGGTTAGTTTAGGTAGAATAGGAGGTTTAGTAGCTATAAGTGTACTATATATTAGGTAGTAGGCCCTACGCACTTTAATAAATTAATATAATATACTATTCTTATATACTCTTAAGTATATTAGATAGTTATATTAAATTATCCTATATAGCTAGCTATAAATTATAGACTTACTTATGTATAACTAGCTTATGTATATATTATTAATACTTTTACTTACTTACTTATTATTTTTTACTTCTTTACTATTATATTTTACTCTTTTACTATATATCTTTATAATACTGTTATATCTCTCTACACATTAGTATATCTAGCCTATTAACCCTGTTAAATCTAGAACAGCTGCTACGAGAGCTATATTATTTACTATTAATTAATTATATAGTAGTTAGTACTTTAAGTTAGTAAGGCTATAATATAATTATTAGTTATAATTACTAAAGGGAAGTCTTAAGGTAGTAATAAACTATATCTGTAAACAGCTTTAACTAAGGGTAATAGGCTAAATCTACAGCTAGATACTAGCATAATCTAGAGGACTAATTTCCTAAACAAGGAAATCTAATAGCATATGTATACTGTATGTCTTACCCCCCCCCCTTGTGAGACATCTTTATATATCACGAAGCAACTAGAAAAGCAGACTCCGGCAGCCGCGACGGGATGTTTTTGACGACGCAACGGAAAGCTGTTGTGGCCCAGCCATGATACAGATCGAGCGACTCCTGCATTCTCGCCACGAACCCAGGCCGTCCAAGTGTCGACGTGACCGATGGGCTTGCCTTCCAAGGCTGTACCGCGGATCCAATCGCGGAGCCATCCGATGTATCCCTCAATTTCGGCAGCGGTGGCTCCGACCCCAGCGTTGGCGGCGACGCCATCCGGGCTGCTTCGGTACAGGTCCTCGGAGCCGACAGAGATGCCAACGATGCGGTCGGTGAAGGCCGCGCCGTATTGCTCTGCTGCACGAAGAAGAGAGTTCAGCTCATTCTCGTAAACGCCACGTCCGGCACTGGCCCACAGGCCGACCAGGATTGACGTATCGGTGTCGATGGCGGCCTGGTAAGCTGAGATTGGGTCGTTCACGGTGCCGCACTGAATCGACGTGTAGAGGCGGGCCGACGTGAAGGACCCCGCGCCAGCTAGGCTCTTTGCGGTCTCGAAGTAGCCCCGGAAGTCATCGTAGCCTCTGCATGAGCCGTCCTCGTTCGTGGCGCCGTAGTTAAACCCCTGCTGCACCTGGGCCAGGGCGCTGGCGGCCAGACCGGCGATGAGGGCACTTCTGAAGTACATGGTCGTCGATTTATTAAAACTAGAGTATTGAAGAAGCGTTTCCGGAGGGCTGATCAACCTATCTTGGACCGTTTATTCCGTGGAGGAGTCACACGTATTTAAACAATGCAGCAGCCATGGACGACGTCTGTTCACCAAAAATAGACCTGTCCCATCGCATGACGTTTTCGTGGACCTCGTATTTGGCCAGCCACGTCCACCTCCTTTACCGTCCCTCTCCAGTTTTCCATTGGATCGATGTTGGTGGGAAAGCAACCAACACTGCTAGTGATCGACAGCTCAGCCCGTGTCTCCACTTGCGCCGTCGCCCAGATCTTGGTTGGGGGGTCTCGACATCGTCATCCACTACCCGCCTTTCCGCTAATGAAGCTTACTTGGCGGTATTTTTCTTGCAATTATGGCACCGGATGCGCTGGACGAGTAATCAGACCCCTGCTTCGCACCAATAGTTGAGCAAACAGCGAAGAATTCTTCTATTTACACAACAACGCTGCGTTACGTACGGCTGACATTGACGGTTACGTACAGTTCCCTCCCTCTCTTTTGTCTCTCAGCTAACCCACTACCAAGGAATCCATCCCGCAACATCCGAGGCCTGCATGGCGACCAATTAGCGATGTTTACTCTTCCTAGTCAGGGGCGTAAACTGTTTACTGCATGACAGCGGAATGAGTTCCTGTGCTAATGATGTATACAAGATGCGGCGAAAAAGTGTTTGATGGATTATCCTTACAAGGATTGGCGTTCATCCGATGTTTACTGGGTCCTAGCATGGTTTTATCTCCTCATACCGGGTTATCAACCTCATAAAATTAACAATCTTAGGTTCCTCGATGCCAGGTCGTTTCCCACTGCTCAGCCCCATGCGTGTCCAGACTTTTAATTAGAAACTGGGCTACAGGGGCACGTTTTATTGGCACCTACAATTGAGCTGATAATAGCTCGGGACACAAGATCTGCTAAACCATAGACTATAGGAACTAGTGGTTTTTGTTTTTTACCTTTTAAGACCATCATCTGGCAGACCTCGCGATTGTAGCGACCTGCCTTATTTTGGGGTACGTATTATCTTATTATCACAAGGGCATTTTACCCTTCACTTTAATCATGTAATTTTCTACATAATTGCCTTGAGTGCCATGTTGTTTATGAAAAATGATATTTATCAAAAACTGTTGGCATATGGGTGATGCGGCCGGAGGAGGTGTGTCACGTGACACACCGCCTACCGGCAGTATCCCTCACCCTTGCCCACGCGCAAGGGTGGTGCCACACTTGCGCTCCCACTTCACCTTGCAACTAGTTAACTATCAACAACAACCACTAATTGACCACTCTTTCCCACACTTCGTGATATTGCGAACTCGGGATATCCCATCGGTTAACCAGTGAAAAACCAACAAAAACACTCGCTTTGGTTTCTGATGGAATCGCGTACAGCCCAGCAAAATATTCTCTAGAATGCTTATGATTCGCCAATAATTTCGTTGCTCTTACTGATGATGTTGCTCTTGCAACATGTTCTTCATCAAAGTCACCGAATCAAACGGGAAGTCTCCAGGTTTGGCCAGCTTGAAGTGCTGAGTGTATGGAGAGAAACGATGCGGCCAAGTTTCTCGATCGAGTGAGGGTTAACATGGTGAGATTTGAAACGAGGTGAGATTTGAAACGACGGGCGGCGCTTGAATAAAACGAAAGCCAGACGGGCGGACTCAGGTACGTATCCAAAGCGGTCCCTCTTAAGCTCGCACAGGTACGCAATGATAATCCACAGTTGAAAATACATGGTAAAAGTATCATGCCCAAGACCCAACACAATAGAAGAAGGTTTCTCACTTTCTGGATAGAAACCGAGTACCATGGAATCTCGTAGTTGAACCTCCCTATCAACCAAGGCTGCCAGAGCTTTCGGAGATGGCTTCCCTAGTTTCTATACCTAGTGCTCCAGATCTGTTGCTGTGACTGTCTTGCCCTCTGTTCTACAACTCAACACACCACAATAAAATCCGGCTTGTCATTAAAGTCCATCATCAATATGCCTGCCGACTGGAATTCCCTCCCCTTGGAGATTCGATGGATGGTTCGGGACTACATCAAAAGCCTTCGGTCTACTGCAACGGATATCCCATACAGACAGCTTCTTCTCGTATGCCGCGAGTGGCACAGCTGGTTCGTCCACGAGAACTTCCGCCTCTTGGTGCTCGATCAAGACCGGCTTAGCGACTTTGAGAAAATGGTCAGTAACAACAAGGTCCGGCGCAACTACGTACAACGCATCGTGCTGCGTATCCGCCTTCCTGACTACGACTGTCCCGCCTGTGATGAAGAAGAAGACGACGCCACCGCCTGCGCTAATGATGAGGCTTTTATTGAAGTCTTGCGGCGGTTTATGACCATCATGTCGGCGTGGCCTAAAAGGGAGCATAATTCTGGAATAACACTGGACCTTGGGGCCTACTCGCCCAGCGATGGCAGACATGGCTTTCGCGACTACCGCTTTTCCGACCAATATCAGTACGGGGCGCCGGAGACCAGTCATGAGCAGCATGCAGATGTCCTCTGCAGAGCTCAGGAGGCCGGCGAGAACCAGAAGAGCACCTGTCCCGGGTGGAACCGCAGCTGTAATGACGAGTGTTCTTCGCCTTCCCTATCCTCCAAGAAGAGAATTTTGGCAACTATTGGTGACGTCCGACGGCGACACTTTTCTGAAGTGTTCACAGAGGGACACTGGGATACTCAACCGCATACAGTCCTCAAGGGTATTGTCTCTGCCCCAGCTATTACCTCTTTGGTTCTTCCCCGCCACTACTACAGACCTATCTCTCTTCTTGTCCTTGGCTGCGTTATCCGCCAAGGCTTCCCAAGCCTACAGAGCCTCCGCCGCGAGACGTGGAGGGCTATTGGTGTACCAGCAAGACAGTCTATGGGTGGATACCAGGACCTCTTTGCCGCCTTGCCTACTACTATTGATCACTTCAGTCTTTTATGCGAGCTCAAAAATACCCATGTCGGCCTTCCTATTACACTTTCCATAATGTACCAACCACATTTTGGTGGAGTAGATATGGGCTTGGCCGCCGCCACGCTAGCCAGGCGCCTTCGCTCCTTCTGTGCGACGTACACGGTTTCGTTCGAGGACTTTGTGGAGGGCGATCTTCGCCGGGGACGTCGGGTCCATCCCCAGCTCGAGCACCTAGTCATGACGTCCGAAATCCTGGAAGCCCGCGTTAGCTGTCGCGCGCCGGAGTTCTTCGGCCTCATCTACATGGCAGGCCGCTTCGCGTTTGTGTCTATGCCAAACCTCAAGAGCCTCATACTGTGGGACGGAGACAAGAGCGACGGGTTTCTCATGCGCTTCACATACACCTACCTCACCTCAAACGAGACCGAACAAGGGGGATGGCAACCGACCGTTGATTGTCGCGGCACCCGATACGCTAGAAAAGACCTATTGCCAGCATTTACAAAGTTGCGCGATGTGCTCAGGCTAATCTTGCCTCCCGCAACGCCTTATATGCGCTTCATTTTCAAAAGGTCTCGTACTGCTGGGGGGAAAGAAGAAGCAGAGGGAGAAGGAGAACAGGTTAATAGAAGAAGGATAACCAAGGGGCCAGAATTCCAGGAGGTGCGAAATTTCATCCTAGATCCTGAATCGGCGAAGCAGAGACTGTTCGAAAGAAGAGTGTCTGCGATGCATTGATTATTGAACCACGCTAGTGTAAGGCCTATATATGACAACTGGCATTCTTGGCAAAAAATTGACCGGATACCATGACTGTATATTAATATCGTCTCTGCTTTGCGGAGTTTCAGCTTCAATTAATTCATCAATCAACAGGTGTCTATGTCGCGCATTGGAACCTGTGCCCAGCTGCGAAGGAACGAATCCTATGACTTTCCAGCTAAAATATCTAGTATGTGAGTCTGACAGGTGCATTTGAACTATATAATCACAAAATAGGCCACCACGGGAATTGAAGTTATACTTGCAACCGTAGCGACAGACTCTTTAGTTATTATACCTGATTGTCTCTGCCTCGTACTCCCCTCTCAGTTACATTAAATAAGTCGTAAAACGGCTGATCTTTCTACAGTATGTTGTCAAGTGTAAGATGAAGAAAAATCTTGGTGGAGCAGACTTATTAAGATCTCGAAGTAATGTGCACAAACTGTTTGCGACTGATATCGGACCATCGTTACCGGGCGGCGTTGGCTTCTCGGCCGGTGTGGCGGCCCGCTCGGCCAATTCGGGTCCGCCCCCCCGTCACCTCGGTGAGCTCCATCCAAGCTTTCCCTCCTGCCCCACCGCGAGCTCTGCTTTTCATCTGGCGCCAGAGCTCCCGTCAATTCCCCAGCACAAATACCCGACGCCCGCCTAGTTCAATTCCACCATTCGATCACCTTTTCGATCAAATTTTTTTCTTTTCAATTCTGTGCTCGCGAATCGGACAACTGGCTTCTGCAGCATGTTCGTAAGTCGCGCGCTCGCCAGGGCGCGGCCGGTCCTTCGACCACGCCAGCCCCCGACGACAAGAACCGCCTTTCGCAACTCGTCGACGAAGCCCTCTCCCTCCTCCTCGACCTCCCGCGCCGCCCAGCGCCTCCTCGACCGTCTCCCTCTCCGCTTCCAGAAATACACCACGGGGCTCCGCAAGGCGCCCCTGTCGCACGTCGTCTCTTTCCTTGTCCTTCACGAAATAACGGCCGTCGTGCCCCTGTTCGGGCTCTTCGGGCTCTTCCACTACACTAACTTTCTGCCCCTCGAGTACGTCTCGGGCCACTGGGCGGGCTACGTTCGTGACGGCGTCGGCATGGCGGAGAGATATTTCAGCAGGAAGGGGTGGTTCGGATTTGAGGCCGGGGACCGCGGGACCATGACGAAGGAGATGAACAAGAGCGGGGACTATGAGACGGCAGACGCACCGCAGAACTCTGGGCACAGTACGCAGGATCTTCTGGAGCGGTGGCAGCAGGACGGAAAGTACAAAGTCGTGGTGGAGGTGGCCATGGCCTGGGCGATCACGAAGGCGCTGCTGCCGGCGCGGATACTTGTTAGTGTTTGGGGGACGCCGTGGTTTGCGGGAGTCATAGGGAGGGCACGCGGGGTTTTCAGATCGAATCGATAGTAGTCACAATGGGAGTTCAAAATTTGAGGGAACAAGTTGATGTGGCTTTCAAACGCCGGGCTTTTGTTTTAATTGACTTTTCTGTATCAACCTATCGACATGCCAACACGCGCCCCACTCATCCGATTAACGGATCAGGGACGTCAAGTGGCTCGTGAAACTAGCAGACAAGAAATTTAAGGCTTCTCGTAGATCCAGTCGAACTGGGAAGACTTGTACTGGACAACATCACCGTCCTTGAACCAGAGGGCAATCTCCTTCTTGGCATTCTCGACGGAGTCGGAGCCGTGGCAGACGTTGCGGCCGACGTCGATGGCGTAGTCGCCACGGATGGTGCCAGGGGCGGAGGCAAGGGGGTTGGTGGCACCGAGGATGGCTGGAAGAGATGGCAGTCAGCAGGAGATTGTGGTGGGTTGGGTCATTTGCGAGACTTACTGCGGCCAGTCTTGACGGCGTCACGGCCCTCCCAGACCATGGCGCAGATGGGGCCAGAGTTCATGTCTGCGGGGTTGTCAGCTCGAAATCAGATGCGGCGCACAAGGAGACAAAAACATACACTCGATGAGGCCACCGAAGAAGGGCTTGTCCTTGAGGTCAGCGTCTAGCGGGCGGTTAGCGATGCGGTATGGCGGGGGGAGGTTCGGGTAGTACTAACAGTGAGCCTCAAGGTGGGCCTTGCCGGGGGTCATAAGCTTGATGGCGACGAGCTTGAAACTGCGTAGGACAAACGTCAGGATCAGTTGCAGAAAATGACTGTAAACAGGAAAACTTACCCACGGCTCTCGAAGCGAGAGATGATGGGGCCGATCAGGCCACGCTGAAGGGTAGTTAGCTTGCTGAAGCAGGCAATTGGCAGCGTTGCCGAAGGATGACGAAGCGTACCTGAACGCCATCGGGCTTGATGGCAATGAAGCTGTCTCGAGGTCAGCGAATATTGTGAGACTGGGCGTGTGGTGGCGATGGTTGTGTGCCCCTCTCAGCCCGAAACCTCTTTCTGTCCCACGATGGCGGGGTAATCAGGGTAGCGGCAGCGAGACAGAGAGAGGCAACAGTGACAACGGGGTGGTGCAGGACAATGGATAGGTTTCAAACTTACGTCTGCTCAGAAGCCATTTTGGGTGATGTGTCAACGACAAAGTCTGTAGCAAGAGGAGTTTGTTGTTGATGTTGTTGGTAGATTGTGGTGGTGACAACGGAGGGGACGACGGGAGAAGAAAGGTCTGCTGCTGACCGCTGGTTTTGTTGGCTCGAGGAAAAAATTATGTACAAGCCGAAGAGAAGCGCAAGAATTATGAAGGTAGGTGGGGGCAGCTTTTCTGCGGTGCGGCGGGCGTATTCGGGGAAGCTCGTGTCTGCATTATTCTGCTGCTGTCCCTGAGGCTTCTTGTGCTTCGAGGCGGGGTCACCGTCCTGCGCATAGTGGGGTCCGGATCCGGGTTCAGCCATGGTTTGCTGCTTGGGACTGTCGACACGCTACCGAGTTCCGTACTCGTGCCCTCTAACTTGTGTAGGTAGAGAGAAGATAGGCAGAAATGCAAGTATCTTACGTAAGAGGAACATACAGTGGGATAAGCTTGGAACACGGCAGTTGAACACTGTGACCAGACTATCTATATTTTCTCTCTCTTAATGCTGTTACTGTGTGTTGAGTACCTAGGTAGATAGATGGAGACTGAGGTTAGGTGGAGGTTGCTTACTTGCAGCTTTTTTGAAAGAAAAGCCTTTTAAACAAGATATCTTGTAGATTGGAACACTGACTGTCGAAGGGCTAGGATTGTGGAAAGGAAGTTTGGATGCCGTCTTGTTTACGTTCAATGCAAGCAAGCTGATGCGAGTGAGTGAAGTGAGTGCCTGAAAAGTTGTACAGTGGAATAACCATGTCAGTTCAGGCACACACAGTCCCCACTAGCGCTTAACTGCATTAGAAAGCCAGACCTGATAGAGAAATAACCCTCTCACCGCCTCAACTGGCTGAGACTACACGTCCAACAAAGAACTCGCTCTAGAACAATGCCAATTGAAACGTCCACTGGTTCTGTATGGTGCAGATAATGCACCATCTGCCTCAGCTCCATAATTGGTACACGTGTCTGTGAAATGGGCCCTTATAGACTGCAGCATCTCGGGCGCTCTCCTCTGATGGCGGGGTAGGGTATATGCATCAATCCAAGCCACCAGTATTAGAGTAAACGTTCCTTCCCCAAACCTCCCCTGGCTCCTGCAGCTAGACGTCCCACGCTAACCCCGAATCGGAGCTAGCGAGTGGACAGCTGTTGAACTTTGGGCGTCTCACCTTGACGCATGTACCTTTCACCCACGAGCAACCCAATCCCATCAATCCACCAAGTACAGCCATCTAAACAATCAACGAGGGAGCACCACAGAGAAGAGCCGCCTTCTTTTTGCTCCTGTGTCTTCTCCTTGATTGCAGTTCTCTTTCGATCTCTTAACTCTCTAGACGGCATCGCGATCACCGATATCCCCCCTTCCGCCATGCGGTCCCTCGGCAGGTTGTCCAGCAAATGGACAGCTTTCGTTGGTGTACTGGCGGCACTGAGCTGCATGATCCAGCCTGCAGGTGAGGAATTCTTCGTGACGCCATGACTTCTGTCCTACTTCGCCTTACCAATTTGGCTTCAGACTCAACGCCGTTCTGACACAAACAATCGCAGTCATGGTTAAGGAGAACGACTTCAAGAAGTGCCACCAGTCCGGCTTCTGCAAGCGTAACCGTGAGTACGCCGACAATGCCGTCTCCCAGGCCTCAACCTGGGCTGCCCCCTACAACATCCTTTCCGACTCTGCTTCCTTCAAGGACGGTCAGCTCCAAGCCGTCATCCTCAAGACCATCAACGATGCCCAGGAAACCGTCCGCCTACCACTTACCGTCTCCTTCCTCGCGTCCGGCACCGCTCGCGTAAGCGTCGATGAGGAGAAGCGCCAGAAGGGCGACATTGTGCTGCGCAACGACAGCCCCGTCCGCAAGGAGCGCTACAACGAGGCCGAAAAGCACACAATTGTCGGCGGTCTTAACCTGGACAAGGACGCCAAGGTTACCTACCAGGACAAGGACCAGATCACCATTCAATACGGCCCCTCGTCCAAGTTCGAGGCCGTCATCAAGTTCTCTCCCTTCAGCGTCGACTTCAAACGCGATGGCTCTTCGCACATCAAGCTCAATGACCGCGGCCTGCTCAACATGGAGCATTGGCGTCCCAAGGTCGACAAGCCCGTCGAGGAAAAGAAGGAGGGCGAGGAGACCACCGACAAGGCGGACGCCGCCGAGTCCACTGACGTGAAGACGGAGGATGAGAGCACCTGGTGGGACGAGACCTTTGGCGGCAACACAGATACCAAGCCCCGCGGCCCCGAGAGCGTCGCTCTTGATATTTCCTTTGTTGGCTATGACCACGTCTTCGGCATCCCTGAGCACGCTGGCCCGCTTTCTCTGAAGGAGACCCGTGGCGGTGACGGCAAGTACACCGAACCTTATAGGCTCTACAACTCGGACGTCTTTGAGTACGTCCTTGACAGCCCGATGACTCTTTACGGAGCCATTCCCTTGATGCAAGCGCACCGCAAGGATTCCACCGTCGGTGTTTTCTGGCTCAACGGTGCCGAGACTTGGATCGACATCACCAAGGACACGAGCTCTTCCAACCCATTGGCTCTGGGAGCCGACTCCAAGACCATCACCCAGACCCACTGGATTTCCGAGGCTGGCATTCTCGACGTCTTCGTCTTTCTGGGCCCTACCCCCAAGGATGTCTCTAAGAACTACGGAGAGCTTACTGGCACTACCGCCATGCCCCAGGAGTTCGCGCTCGGCTACCACCAATGCCGCTGGAACTACATCTCGGACGATGATGTCAAGGAAGTTGACCGCAAGTTTGATAAGTTCAAGATGCCTTACGATGTCATTTGGCTTGACATCGAGTACACCGACGGCAAGAGATACTTCACCTGGGATGGCGACATGTTCAAGGATCCCATGGGCATGGGCAAGGCCCTCGACGAGCATGGGAGAAAGCTCGTGGTCATCATAGACCCCCATATCAAGAACGAGGGCAAGTACGACATCGTGGAGCAGATGAACTCCAAGGGCCTTGCCGTTATGAACAAGGAGGGCAAGCCTTTTGAGGGTTGGTGCTGGCCTGGTTCGTCGCATTGGGTCGACTGCTTCAACCCCAAGGCAGTTGAGTGGTGGAAGGGCCTCTTCAAATACGACACTTTCAAGGGCACTATGGAAAACACCTTTATCTGGAACGACATGAACGAGCCCTCCGTCTTCAACGGCCCCGAGGTCACGATGCCCAAGGACAACATTCACCACGGTGGCTGGGAGCACCGTGATGTCCACAACATCAACGGCATGACCTTCCACAATGCCACCTTCGAGGCCCTGCTTACCCGCAAGAAGGGCGAGCTCCGCAGACCTTTCGTCCTCACTCGCTCCTTCTACGCCGGCTCTCAACGTCTCGGTGCCATGTGGACCGGCGACAACCAGGCGTCGTGGGAGCACCTGGGCGCTGCCCTTCCCATGATTCTCAACCAGGGTATCTCCGGCTTCCCCTTTGCTGGCGCTGACGTTGGCGGCTTTTTCGGCAACCCCGAGCCGGATCTCATGGCCCGATGGTATCAGGGCGGTGCCTTCTACCCCTTCTTCCGTGGCCACGCTCACATTGACGCCCGCCGTCGCGAACCCTACATGCTCGAGGAGCCGTTCAGAAGCATCCTCACGGCAGCCCTCCGTCTCCGATACACCCTGATGCCTACGTGGTACACCGCCTTCTTCCAGGCGCACAGAGACGGCAGCCCGATCGTGCGCCCGATGTTCTGGACCCACCCCAACGAGGAGTCTGGGTTCGCCATTGACGACCAGCTGTTCGTTGGTTCGACCGGCCTGCTTCACAAGCCCGTTGTAGAGAAGGACAAGGAGTCTGTCGACATCTTCATTCCCGATGACGAGGTCTACTACGACTACTTCACCTACGAGAAGCTTCCTACCAAGAAGGGCCAGTACATTACCAAGGCTGTTGCCATCGACCAGGTCGCGTTGCTCATGCGTGGCGGCCACATCTTCCCGCGCCGTGACCGCCCCCGTCGTTCGACCAAGCTCATGCGATTTGACGACTACACGCTGGTCGTCAGCGTCAGCAAGGATGGCCAAGCCGAGGGCGAACTGTACGTCGATGACGGCGACTCGTTCGACCACGAGAAGGGTCAGTACATCTATCGCAAGTTCAGCCTTGCAGGCAGCACCCTCACCTCCTCCGACGCTGAGGGCCGCGATGTCAAGTCCATCAAGGCTGGCTCCTGGCTCAAGGCCATGAAGGAGGTCTATGTCGACAAGATCGTCATTGTTGGCGCGCCGGGCGCTCTCAGCAAGAAAGAGGTCACTATCGAGTCCGAGGGCAAAACTTGGACTGTTCCCGTGCAGTACCATGCGGCGGACAAGGGTCGCGCGGCGTACGCTGTTGTGGGCAGAGTCGGTGCTCGCATCGGAGAGGACTGGAGCATCAACTGGGCTTAGGCGGCACCAAGGTTTCACAGGCGTATTGTAGGCCGAGGCTGGCTTTCATGGTACTAGGAAAAGATGAAGTGTGTGCATCACGGAGCGGCAAACATTTGAGCGATGGATATAAACCTGGGCAGCGGATAAGGTACGCGGGCCAGGATTAGAGAGAACAAGATGCGCGCAGATGGCGCCCGGGATTTGATGATTGACAAATCAAACAGCCATCAGAGCTTCATTTAGAGAAGAAACACTTGGCAGAGAAAGATGGAAAGAAAAACATAAACTCACCAAAAAAAGATACGGCTCCAAGTGATTTCGTTTAAGCGATCCAGAAATGTATCGACGGACCCCGGAGAGAGGAAAGGGTTTCGTCGGGGTGGGCTCCGTGGAGCCTCAACTTTCCATGGAGGGTCCCCGCCCAAATCTCCCATCGCTACCGCTCTTTCACAGAAACGCCCCTGAACCAAAGCCAACGACGATGGCGGCGCGGCAGAACCACCTCCCACCCCCTCTTTCGACCGGGGGAAAGGGAAAGAGAAGCTCAGCCTCGTTAGTCTGCGACGTCGTGCGGACTGCGAGGTTTTTTCTTTTTTTGGGGGGGGGGGGGGGGGGGGGTGGCTTCCACCTTCCCCCCACAGATCATTGCTTTTGGAGCCGAAGGGCCCGTAAGCGGCGGGTACTCGTTAACATGGTTGAAATTTTGGTACTTCCACTTTTTGGGCCATGGACGTTAGGGATTGGTGACAAAAGTCTGGGGGGCTTTTTCACCATCAAAACCGTTCTCTCTCTCTCCCTCATCCTTCATCCGATAATGGCTCATATTTTTCACATCTCGTCAAGACAACTCGCTCGTATGTACTGCTTTTCGTTGTGCAGTACCTAGTTCAGAGGGGGGGGGGGGCGGCGATGGCATAACATACCATCGACTTGAGTTCCCCCCTACTATAATATTGCTTGAAGGAGCGGCACTATAGTAAAATACCAAAAATGCATGGTTCCGAGACGGCAGCGGTAGCATGATTCGCGGCAGCAGCGCGCCCCTTTGGGAGGGGGGAGAGAGATAAGGAAACTCTCTTCATTGGGTCGCGTCGGTACCACCGCCCACCCCTTTTCATTCCTGTTATCGCGCGCACTGGCATGAAAGACATGGTGGTAGTTGATGGTTAGGGGGTAGGAGGGATAATTAGGCGGCTACCCACTAGGAGCCTTGCATGTGAAGAAACGTCGCGTCGCAGTCGATGCTCTATATCCTCGTATTCCCGCTCCCGTGCGATCGTGCCCGGTCGGCGGTTCCATGATCCTACGCCATGATGAGCGGGTGGCTGCTGGCTCTTCCCCGGAGGTCTCGGAGAGGAGCATGGCAAGGTCAGGGCCCGCCGTAAGGTCATGGCCGGGAAGGGTAGGCAGTCTGCCGGCCGGCACGCACTGGTTTAGGAGCGTTCGAAGTGTTGGCCACGGGCTCTCGGTGGCCTGTTCCCCGTGCGTCTGTGGCTTGATATTCCGGTACTTGCCAGGGCTAAGGTGATCTGGCGCTCTCAATTCCAACCGACCTGATTGTTCTACAATTGGGGAGGTCTGGTCAAGGTGTTGAAATTAAAATCAGAACATCAATTATTGGTAGACAACTGCGAAAAAGGAAGGGGAGAAAAGCTGAGAGAAATGTGGCCTGAGGTGATGCGTGTTTTCCCTTGGCTTGCCTTGACGGCCGGGGCACCGTGGAGGCCAGCTAGGGGATTTGGGTCAACCCCGACTTTGTTTTCTTGGATCGACATCGGCCACTCCTTTTGCCGGACAGACATGTGCGGGCGCAGGATGGTATGTTTGGGAGATGCGCTGGGAGATGCGCGCAGATGATTTTTGGGGGTTGGAAAGCTTGACCGATACTGTAAACCGTGAGCATCCAGGGATGATGGATAGTGTCTGTGTTGCCGAGAATGTGACGTATGTATGCGGTTGACCTAGTAGGCGTTGCAGCCTCGGTGATCCGACAGCGAACGATATTAAGCGGCCTGGAATCCATTGACGTAGGGACTGCTAGTGTCTTGGGCGCAGATGCGAGCTTCGGACGAGGCATTGCCACATCTGCGTTACGATGAACCGCGACTTGGACAGTGGATGGACATAGAATTTGTTGTCGTGGCCAGCTGTCATAAAAGTAAAGATAAAATAAAAACAGGAACGGCGGTTCAGGTAGCTATTTTTAGACTCCAGGAGAGCAAGAGAAACAACTTCTTCACTGATGCGACCAAGCCGCCGACGAAAACGCGTGCGGTACCTGCATCCAGCGGCGTTGTCGATGGCATGAACAATGGCGGCTGTGTGGTGGCAAACGTCCTATGGGCGGCGGGGCGCCAGCGGGAGACCCAAGGTGGTAAGCCGCGAATGATGTGGTGGTGGTGATTGGAAACCCCTTCCCGCACTAAGACAAGCAGAGGCGTGCGAGGAGACAGGTTTTCAGAAGAGCCCTTGTTCCAGAGGCGCTAGAAGGCGGCCTTGTTGAGGATGTAGTTGGTGGTGGGTGTGATGTTATAGCATGTCTCACGCCGCGAGATGGTGTGATTGTTGTTTAGAAAGGTGGTTCCTGGTGAAACGGGTGAAGGGTGAGGACTACACTACAGGCGGCGTGTAGCGAATCAGATTGGCACGGGCGGCCGATGCGCTTGCTTTCATCTCAATCCTCCAAAAGTCTGCGAGCGATTCAGTACTCAGTGGTGGTGGCCAGGACGGAGATGACTGACTGGCTTGACCGAAGCCTGGCCCGCGGACCTTGCGGAGTTCAAAGGTCCAGGCCTAGTCGATTTGGGGGCATCCGTCTCCTCTCTCCCTTCCCTTCACTTTCCTTTCCTTCCCTTCCCTTCTCTTCCAGATGCTCGCTAGAACTTTCCACGACATCAGTTGAGCTCCGTGCCTGGAAGACGCTGGCCCACAGTCGGCACTGTCAGGGCCGCGCCATAGGTAGGCATGTCGGACAGTGACGGTATCGGAGGTTAGAGACTGTGAGCGTTCAGGGAACGGTGGACCGAGCTGAGGATTAGGGGTAGGTTGGTATGTATCTTGGCAGGGGGGATGGCGGGCGAGGGGCCGATCCTAGGTAGGTACCGTTGAAAGGAAGCAGAACAGGGGAGAATGCGACGTGACGTCAGCCTTGGCAGGTGGGGCCACGACCAGGGCGAAGAGTGGGGGTCTCCATCTCCAGTTCTTTTGAAATTTTAGAAAGGAAGGGGCGGCTTTCAATTGAGCTCGAGGAAGGAGGGAGGGAATTAGAGACAGAGAGGCTTGAAGATGACCGCCCACCTAGGGTGAAAGAGCACGGTTTGCCAGACCTTCGTCTCGTCGAGGTGCAGGTTTGCGTCATCCGTCGGAAGACAGCATACATAGGCAGTACCGATTGCGTCTAGCAGCCATTGGCGACACATGAGTTGTAAGATTCAGAAGTACCACCGCTGCACCCGCTGCTGCCAAGACACACCGCTTGTGCGATGCCGTCTGCTCGTGGAATAGATTTGCGGCGGGCGCTCGTATTAGGTCCGGGTTGATCCATTGTCAGTGCTCGATGACAGTTATCCTCCAGCGCTTCGGGGTTTTGCTGTTCGCCGTCTGGACAGCTTGCCGCTACGTATATCCATGTCTCCTCGGGAGTGCGCACCGGACCCGGCGAGCACGCTTGTCGTCACTGGCTTGTATTGGCGACCGATGGTGCCCTGTCTCTTCGGCCCTTTACGACGCGGACTTTTTGCAGTCCATACTAGTCAGTAGGCAGGTATGTATATCACGAACTTGACGATAATCTTCTATGGAGAGTGGCTTGTGAGTAAATGTTACATACTGAGTACAGTATGTGCTTTTTTTTCCAGAGCTCGAGAGGTGGCGGCCATGTGCGCATCGGATGGTGGGCTAGCCCTTCATCATGCCGCCCCCCTGCTTTACACGACGATTCGGATGGTAGATAGCGTGAGATGGATGGATGATCAGCCAGTGTCCCGTATTTGCGGAGCGGGAGAGACAGTTTGGTGCAACACAGCAGAGAGCCTCAGTGTCTCAGAAGTAGCGCCGCACTTCGGGACGTGCGGATGGCCGTGCAAAAGGCGTGGGAAAGGGTTGCGATAACAGGTGGGGGTCCAGTCCTTCGCGGCTACACTAAATTTTGTGATTCATTGTGAGATGCAGCAACGCGATTCTGATGAGGTGTCCGTTTCCGATCCAACTGTGCAGAGACTCTGATTTGCATCTAGTCATCGTCCCAATGCGCATGTACAGCGATGATGAAGTCCAATGGAAAATATGACGACGATGGGAGTCTGAGAGTGCCGGGTGGTATCTTCAAGGCGCTAACCGCAAATCAGCTTAGAGCTACCGTGCAGCTAGGAAGCAACTAGCGAGCCAGCAACGATGGGGCGGCGATGCGATGTGATGCGATGCGATGCGACGGGTGTCGGTAGTTTTTTTTCTTGGTACTGCGGACAAGCCATCATTGTGGAGAGTATGGCAGTGCTGTACGGATATATGTATGCCATACTGCAGTTTCCAGCACGGATTTTCGGTCAACAGCGAGCTGGCAAGGGGAGATGGAGCCTTGAGTAAATTACGATGTTGCTGCGAAGAGGCTGCCTCCTCCATGATGTTAAATGTGTTAAAAATGGGATGATTTAGGGAAGGGAAGGGGGGGGGGTTAGGTCCTATCTCCGGGAAACAACGTCCTGTCCATCCCAGTGGAACCCACCCTCCTAGGCTCTTCTTTCCTGCCAGTTGATTTCAACATGGACCCGGTTCGCCATGGCCATGGCATGGCCTTCCGCCCAAAAACCAATCTGATGGAATGCTCAATGCCACTCGACGACTCCATCAAGTCTACCAAGATTAAGGTGCACCTGGCGTGAAGAGTAAAAATAAATAAATGGATACTCAATTTTTTCCGAAATGCTAATGACGAGCCAGTTCACCCCCAGTGTGGCCGTCCATGGGCTCCAGGCGCGCGATCAGCATTTCGTCTCCCCGGTTTTAACTCTGGGCACCGACGTGGCGCCGCAACGCGGCCATTGGGTGCTAAGGATGATGCGAGTGGCAGCGAGTGGATGGGTGGATGAGCGGATGAGTGGGCGACAGCACTCGGTTCGTGCAGACGACAAGGAATTCTAGAGCACATGTCGCCCGTCGTCGATTCATGGTTGACATTTCATTGCGCTCAAATAGCCGCGACCGGGGGCCCCCTCCCGGGGCCCAGAGATCATGGCCCAGTTTTTTGCTCATGGAGTCCCTGTTTTCTAAATGACCGGCAAAGCCAAGGGGCAAGGGAGAGTGGGAGACTGACACACCCCATCTCGTGTGTATGTACTGATGTACCTACGCACAGGAGCTTCCTTTTGCTCTGTCCGTCCGTATCGGCACCAGCTACTCATTGCCTGTTCGGTCTCGGTCCCTTGCTTGTAACTTCCCACTTGTGCGGATATTTGCTTGGCTCCTGCATCCAAGATATTTTATCCACACCTTCCTCTCCTCGCCCTGCAAAAGATGCTCCTTCCCCAGCCCTTTCGCCCTCCTTCCCCAGCTGCTCATGCTCCTGCCCCTACACTTCACCCGCGGGGAAAGAAAAGGAACAAAAAAAAAAAAAAAAGGAAGGAAGGAACCAGCACCCAGCAGTTTCAACACCGACCAGTACTCCCTCCGTTTCTTCTTAGCTGAAGAGACTGTGATCCCATCTCCAGTCCTCCGACATACGGATAGGTAGTGGTGGAATTCAGCCAGACGGCGACGACGACGGCTAGATCCCGGGATATATCTATCCATTAGCTCCTTGCCTAGGACCTTTCCCGGCATCCCGCCTGTTACCCCACCAAGAAATATACCGAGAAGCGTCAAACCAAACCAAACCAACCGCGACCAAGCGTGTTCAACAACCGACGTTCGTTTCACCTCTTCGCCCATCACAGCTGGGTAGCCGACTGAGGACCGCTGTTGGTTGGTTTGGTCATATTTACCGACTGCCAATATCAAGCAGGACAACTCAACCCAACCCCTTTCCCTCGCCAACAAACTAATTCGATATTCCCACCCATACTCACTTACACCCATAAGTCTTCACACCTCGTCTG